ATTCATCTGTTTAAGAGCACCAAGTTCTTTAAACGATTTTTTTCTTAATTGATTTGGGTTCACCATAACACCAAACTAAAATCCTTCTGTCAGAAACAACTGGGGGTCAGCAAAGTCTACAGCATGAGAGCAGAATTAGATAATTTTACATATTTAAGATTTTTTTTTATAGAATATTTTTTGAGAGTAGAAAAAGGAATTTAATAAGCATGTTCATGGAACACAGCCTATTCCCAACTGGACATATCAGGTGACAGAGACCCTAGGCACTGCGGGTAATCCCACAGCCCAGGCCTGCTTTCTCACTCTCACCCCTCTGAGAGGTGTCACTCATACTTTATATGGATTTACAATTGGCTGAGTATTAATGATGCTACAAAATTTATTTCATATTGGTAGCCAGGGGAAAAGTTCTACAGCGATTATTCTATTAAGAAGAGGTGCTGAAGATAGAAAAGTTACATTTTTATGTTAGTATTATTATTTTTTATTATCCAATTCTTCAAAGAAGAATTCTCCTTAAAGACAGAGTATAAATATGCAAAGCTTAAAAGGTAAAACTATGTAACCTGAATATATTTTCAGGAGCTTCCACTCATATTGTGTGACCTTATATACACAATAACCCCGTAGAATGGAATGTCATTGTGGATAAGTTGCATCTCTGCAAGGGGAACTTGTTGGAAGTAACAGAGCTGAGAGGCAGCATGACTGAGGTGCCCATCTAAGGGGCTATGACTCCTACTGCTATGATGCCATCCTGACTCTGTTCTAGTGACTTTTTTTCCTTTTCAAGGCAAATAACTGATTTTTCATGCATTTGAGAGACTTCCCTCCTTGTGTTTCTTTCAGATTCTTGACAAAACACTTTGGAAAAAATGATGTTATTAACCATACATTCTTTAGAAATATCTTTTAGTTATTATGTGTCTCTTCCCAGGGTCATCTTCATCCCTTGGCTGGAACTGTGGATCAAGATTTGAGAATAGACTGAGAAGAATTTTGTAGTTAAAGTATCTCTGGGATTGTGTAGAAGCAAGCCTCTCATTTGGTGCAGATTTTTTTTTTTTTTTACTTTTGAGGTCCAGAAGCCCATTAATTATTTTAGCAGAAAACTTCAATGATTCTGGAAACGTTTTAGAACTTCCAGAGTCTCCCAGTAGGTACATTTGAAAATATGATCTCAAACTCATCTGAGATTTGGTTTAACTATGAGAGAGAAAGGAAATTAAGGGAGACATTAAGATATTATCATAACATGTAAAATGTACAGTAAAATCAATATATGTGATCAGATTATTCTCCATGGATGGTGCTGACTGTAATTTCTAATCAGGGTCTGAAATATGTTTGTGACCCAGTGAAGGAAACAACAGTTCCTGCTTGGGCCATGTTCATTGAGAGCATTGTCACTAGTGTGTAGTATATGTACTGCAAAGAGTAGCCTGTGGGGTGGGACATTCTAGAGTTCTCTGTTGTGGGTGAACATGTTGCCTAGATGAGTTATTCATGCTGGGTCCCTTGGCATGGAGTTTCCCCAAATTTTATAAACTTCTAGATCATCTGATATGTCTTTTCTCACATTCAGAAGCAAACATGCAAAGGGCATTCATTATGATGTCTAGAATTGGAGGTTTTCAAAATTTAAAAATGATCTTCGGGTTATCTTATATTTGTATTTGTGAATAAAAAAGAATCAAGCTATATTTTGGTCTATAGTTATAATTTTAAAACTGTGACTCTGATGCCAATTCCTGTCACAGAAGAAGTCAGATGACTTATTTTGATGTAGATAATGTACATTTATGGTAGCTGAAGTAATATGTATCCATTGACTGGCTAAACCTTGCCCATGGGTGAATGGCCTCCCACAGCTGCTAGTTTTTTGATACATGCACAAAGTGGAGAATTAGAGAAGTTTTTTTTAGGAGACATAATTTTTTATACTACATATTAGTTAATATTACAAAGTTAAGATGAAAAACTTTAACTGGTAATTCTTTAAGTAACAAATCAATATTATGAAGTTTCATTTTTTTTAATTGTTGATGGTTCTTTAATGTAAGCATCAGAAAGTTTACCTGACAGCTTGTAGTGGCTTCTTAAAATGCACGGAATATTATCTGCAACACAGATTGGAAATGCAAAAAAATTAAGGCATCCTTTAATAGTGAAACAATATTTCAGATGCTGTGCCCTTTAATTGAGACAATTTTATTTTATTTTATTTTTAAAGAGAGAGAGCGAGAGAATTTTTTAAATATTTATTTATTTATTTATTTATTTTTGTTTTCAGTAGACACAACATTTTTATTTTATTTTTATGTGGTGCTGAGGATGGAACCCA